TAAAACTCGACGCACTTTAAAAAATATTTAGCGGCGAATCGCCGACCCTGTAGGCGAGCACAATGCAAATCGCCGTTCGGACTCACCTGCAACCATAGGTCCTATAATCTTTCACGAGGAAGCTAAATATTTGGCGTGCCGCCGACTGAACATGCCAGTATAGTTAATGTCACTGAATAGGCGATAACTGGAAAGTTCTCCAAGCAAAGGTTTCAAAGTATCTGATTTACTGCTTACCTCACTTTTTCATACTCCCTAACTAACACTTGCACGCTAGTTTTATATTTTATGTATTATTAGAGTATTCGCATTGCTAAATTATGCTCAGTTGTGGATTGCATGGAAGCCGAGCATCTTCACACAAGGTTGGTCTTTCAACACACCGAGTTATTTTTGAGAAATCTAACCTCATTTGCAACTAGTTGATCTTATCGATTCCCATCTAACACTTATTATTCGCATTTGAGGACAACTGCTTATATTTGTGGTGGGGTGAGGCCCACACCTTTTGTGTTGACATTCATGTTTTGTTCTGTATATATTTGGGTTGTCTGCTTTAATTTGTGTTTTAAATACTACGTTTCTGTGGATGTTTGAGCTCGTGGCTCCTGTTGTTCTAATTGAAAATAATTTTGATCCTTCCGAAAAAATTTCGCCACCTTTTGTGTTGAAAGTGGCTGTTATTTTGCAAAAAAATTTGAGTCTCAGTTTCAATCAATACCGATGACTTGAATAGTGCTCCCAATTGAACAAACATGAATGCACGGCTTCGACGAGGCCAAATGAAGTTATATAGACAATATGTGCACTCTTTGCATCTCGTTGTGACTAGCCATTTATCAAATTGATTTTCTCGTAATGATCGTTGCACACTAGCAAAAGTGTGTAATCTTGTTTGACTTAAGTGTCGATGCGTTGTGTGATTAGCATGTTTTGAAACTTGCATGAATAAACCTAGAATTTTCCCGGTTAGTCTGATTGATTTAGAAAGGTGTCCTCTTGAGATGATCTTAGGCAACTTTAAAGAGTGTGAGCCAAATTTGACATATATCTCTTTTGTGGCCTACCCGTGAGAGTGTGAAACTCTTTTGAACACCCTTTGAGCCATACCTTTCTTTGGAAGAACCTTGATGAACCCTAGACCTTACTTGAACCACTACCTACAATCCTCTTGAGTTGTGGTTTAGCGAATAGCCAACTTAGGCCAAAAGCATAAGTTGGGGGTGTGGTGAAAAGGGAAAAGGAGAAGTGAAGAAGTGCAAGAAAAGTCCCCCCTTAACCCATGGTATTGCATAAAAATGGAACCCCCTCAATTCAATTCAAATAATAATAAAAAAAAAACAAAAAAAAAAAGGAATAAAGTACGAAGGGAATCAGATTTCAAGCAATCCATGGAGGAGAATAAAAAAGGTGACTTAGAAGCACTAGAAAAAGAATTGATAAAGGAAAATAAGGGAATGCCTTTAGAATGCCACCACTCATGAGGAAAAAGTCACTGAGCCTAAATGACCATACCTTTGCACTCAGCCCCATTACAAGCCTTAGAAAAACCTTTTTGATCTTGAGTAAGCCGAATCGAAATTCAATTGGAAAATAAGGGCAAACTTATGGGTGAAAACATGTATTGTGTTCCTCTTTTTGAGTGTGAGCGTTTTATCTGATTTATGATCTTAAAATTGACTCATATCTGTGTGTGAATATGGAATCATTCTTTACGTGAGGGCATTTTAGATACTTTTGTTGAGCTTGAAATTTCACAACTAGCAAGTATTGCGAGTATGTGAATCTTTGGTAATGGTGTGTCACAACTTGAATCTTTGAGTACACAGTTGA